TAATCATACTAACTATAACTTCATCCAAGTCATTCATAAAAATGTGAAACAGCACCCACGTATAAATCCAGATCCTTAGGTTCCTACATTAGAGCCTTCCATTCAATTTGGCTCCAATAAAGATGTTTATTTAAATCAATTCCAAACCCATCTACTGCTCTCTGGGACCAAGCAGAACAATTTTAATTTTTTTTTTAATTTGGCTTGAAGGTGATTGTAATGTCCTCACTAAGACTTCTCTTCTACAGGTTAATAAACACTGGCTGTTCCTGTAGCCAATTTGTGTATGGCACAGTATCCAGTCCTCTCACTATCCTAGTTACCCTTCTCAGGACAAATTTATTCTTCAAGCTGTCAACATACTTTCTAATGTGCCACCCAGGGTGGAACTCTCCTCAGAAAACCATGTTCCATGATTCAGAGTTCCATAGCTACAGAAAGACAGAGTTATTTTAAAAGACGGGTTTTTGTGGTAGTGAGCAACTTGGATTACTGAAAATCCTCCAAATGAAATCTGGCCATATTTCCTTCTCATATCCAATATTAGGCCCAGGTCACTAACTACCTGTAGTACATTTTCAAAACAGATATATCCTAATGGGCTAATTACTAACTCAAAGGGACAACCACATTCTGTAATCTGAGCAATATTAATTTTTCATCTACTTTTTTTTAGCATGGAAGATTAGGCCAATATCTTCTAAAGTAAATTAGTTTGGTCAGGCCAAATCAAATAAATATGGATGTCATCGAAGAGACTAAATGCTGTTCCAAGACTTGGTAAAGTTAGTACAATGTCATTTGTGATTTGGAGGATTTGAGATCCTTGCTATCAGTTAGGATCTATTTAGATTTGGCTTAAGATATCCTTCATGATATTACTGGATACCTTAAGCCAATAAGTTTCTCTATTTTATTACTTGCCTGAATTTTCATATTGTTTGGATCAATGAACAAAATTATCTCCATGGTTGAATTTATCATAGATTCCCTCATATGATTTTAACAAATGTGTCTGGGAAGAGACTTTAAGTTTGCATTTTGTTCCACCAATCCGTCTTTGAAAAAATCAACAAACAATAGACATGGAGGAATATTATATTATCCCCTCATCTAAGTTGGTTGTGTGGTTATGAATATGCAATCTTATAGAAATACATGATCTGTAGAAAATCAATTGCCAAAAACTGACTGTTCCCTTGATTTATCTTCAACATGGATACACTGGATACACATGTAGAAAGAACATTCTCAAATATTTTATAAAGATAAGACAGTAAGCTTGTGTTTTAGTACTTGCTGCCTTCTTCGTCACCTTTCAAAAATCATCTGAGATCTTCTCTTTTGGAAAAGATCTATTTTTGAGGTCTTGGAAATCAACTCCTGTGTGCCTCTACTAGCTCATATTTCTTCTGCATGTATTTTGTTAGGTCCAGATGCTCTGCAAAATTTTATCTTAAGTGCCACTGTTTCTTCACAACAGATTCCAAAAAGATATGACAGGCTAAAATAATAGGGTGAGACCGATAAACTGAAACTTAAAAAGGAGTAAAAGTCAAGTTGTACATTTGGGTAAAAAAAAAAATCAGCTGCACAAGGACAGGCTATGGAAGGTATAACTTGACATCACCACATAAAAGAAACAGATCTGTGGGTTCTGACAGACTGTAAATCAGGCACTGTGGCAGCAGAATCCAGATGAAGCTGTTTCACTATAATCACAGATGAGACTATAAGCAATATCAAAAACTCTGCTTTGCTTTATATCTATTGGTTGTCTTCCTTCCACTTTCATCTACAAACACTCTTGGCATTATCTGGCTTAGCCGAGCCTCATACCAAGCTCTTTGCAATCATATTTCCCCTTCTATTGCTTTACATGATTTTATGAGGTGATAGCACCCACAATTTTCCATCATGTTCTTCCATATTTTACAAATGAGCATGTACTCTAAACTACTGTTGCCCTTGGTTGCCAAATGACTCTGCTTGGCAAAGGGGGTGCTCAGCTCTTTTGGCCTTTTTGTTGTGGGTTTAACCTAAGAAATGGTGATAAGAATCAATGTCTTGACTTTTGTCCATTCTTTATTATACAAAGTCAATAGCTTTGTCTACATTGACAGAGAACTGTTTTCTTCTCATCTGATGCTTCATTCCAACTTGGTATAGACTTTTACCTTAACACTCACCTGTTGATATTCTGACTGCTCACAGACACTGATTCTGAACTGACTGCCATGTCTATAACCAGTTGTTTTCTGTCAGTTATGATATAGTCAGTTTTGTTTTTTAAATGTCATTTGGTTTTTACCATATCCGGTATCTTTCAACTTTCTTCTTGAAGAATATATTAATTAAAACAAATATAAGGTTCCATCTCACACCCAACAGACTGGCAAAGATGACAAAAGATGAAAATGGTCGTTCTTGGAGGGGCCACAGGAAGACAAGAATGTTACTGCACTGTTGGAAGTACTATGAATTGCTCCAATCATTCTGAAAAATAATTTGAAACTACACACTAAAAGTCACTAAACTGTGCATACCCTTTGACCCAGCAATAAGAGTAATAGCTATACACTCCCCCAAAAGTAGTAAATTGAGAGATAGGACTGATATGTCCAAAAATATTTATAGCATCATTTTTTATTGTAGCAAAATGAATTAGAAACCAATTAGGTATCCATCAATTGAAGAATGGCTGAGGCAAATCACTGTAACAGGATATTTTTGTTCCATAAGAAATAAAGAATATGAGAAATTCAAGGGGCAGCTAGGTGGCACAGTGGATAGAGCACCGACCCTGGATTCAGGAGAACCTGAGTTCAAATCCAACCTCAGACACATAACACTTACTATCTGTGTGACCTTGGGCAAGTCACTTAACTGCCCAACCAAAAAAAGAAAAAAAAAGGAATATGACAAATTCAGAAAAATCTGGCAAGACTTGAACTGGTTTAGGGTGAAATGAGAAGATCAGGAGAACAATTTACATGGTGACCAGAACAACAAAAAGGAAAACAACTTTGAAAGACTATGGATTTCTGATCAGTACAGTAATCAATTATGATTTCAGAAGACAAATGATAACACATAACAGCGACCTCTTAGGAAAAAATGTCATGGACTAGTGGTACAGAATAAGACATGAATTTCCAGAAACACCTAGTGGGCTGAATTTTTTGTTTAATTATACTTTAACAAATAGCTAATAATAAAACAAATAACTAATAATAAAATAAATAAAGTAAAATAAAATAAATTTAAAAATAACAAATTAACTAATAACAAATGTTAATTAAGTGCCTACTATGTGCCAGGCACTATGCTAGTCTCTACAGACACAAAAATAAAAGCAAAGAGTACTTGCCTTCAAAGAGCTTATAGTCTAGCTGGAGGAAGACAGCATATACACAGGGAATGGGGACAGGGACTAGACCTGTGATTTCATTGTTACAGAGCACTCCTAGACAAGGAAATTCCTTATAGCAATGCAAGTCAGCACCTTCGGTTGTTGCCTAGAATTGCTTTGAGCCCTGGGAGACTGAGTGACTTCTCTAAGGTCAGAAGTGGGACCTGAAGCCAAGTCTTCTTGGTTCTAAGGTTTGCCCTCTATCCACTATGTCAAATTGCTTCTCAACCTGTACATGTATAGGTATACACATAATGATATGTTTTTATGTATGGAGAGGAAGCACTAGGACACCCCTACCTTCTGTTCTCTTACCTCCATCCTCTTCAACTCCAATGCACATCCATGCCCAATTCCAACCTTGTCCAACTCTTCTCCTGTGTCCTTTGGAACTGCCATACAATTGTGAACAAATTTCCCTTCATTCTGTATCTCTTTCTCTTATACTCCCTCCATTTACCAGCCCTCAATGAGAACTAGCTCTGCTGTAATAGTGCTCCATCCCTGGCCATTCTTTCTAGCAAAAGCTATACATTCCCTCACCTCTCCCTTAACTCCCTTCCCACACTACTGGTACTTGAGGGGTCAGAATATCTCCTTCGCCACTTCTAGAACCCCCCATTACCGACTTTACCCTCCTTTCTCAAGGAGTTTAGCTCCTGGCTTACCATCTTCCTTTCCTCCTCAACTCCTAGCCTTTTACTAGGAGACCTCAATATCCACACTGATGCTTTCATAAACTATCTAACCTCTCCATTCTCCAGTCTTCCTAAGTCCCAAAATTTATTCCTTCATTCTACCTCAGCCACACAGAGGGATGTTTATGCCCTGGATTTCACCATTACCCACAAGTGTTCCACTTCCTTAACCAAAAACAGACATTCCTCTATATGACCATAACTTCCTATCACTTAATCTCTCCCTATGCCATCCCTCCTAAACCTATTACCTGGCGTCACTGAGACCTCTAATCCCTCTACCACTCAGAACTTTCTCTGGGTTTAACCTTGGCTAGCTTCACTTTCTTCATTTCAAATCCTGACCATAGAGTTAGCTAATTCAACTTCTCATTGTCATATACTCTTGTCGCCTCACTCCCTTGCCCCATCACTGCTGATTCCTTGGAAAACCTGGATTACTATCACCATCTGCCTCCTCCACTCTTAATCACATGCTGCTGAATGAAACCAGAAGAAATCAAAGAACCATTTTGACTGGATATGTTATAACTTCATATTATCCAACTTCAACCAGCCCCTCCTTGAAGCAAGGCAATGTTTTCTCCTCCCTTATTCCCTCTCAATCTTCACAAAAATTATTCCAAACCTTCTTTTTCTTTTTTAAGCCTTTGTCTCCTCCAGTCCACCTTAGCTAAGAACTTTGCTTTACTCTACTAAGAAAATTTAGGTCATTTGATGTGAACTTTTCCTCCCCCCTTTCAAGATAACTTGAAACCCCTGACATCATCCCATGTTTTCTTCTCTTATGTACATATCACCTTGCAAATACACACCCATCTGAACTTTGTCAGAAAGGTAAAATAATTAGGTTGGAATTTTATTCATTTTTGAAAAGAAGTGGACTTTACCCGCATTTCGTAATGAGGCTCCAGAGGGCTCAAAGATAGCAACCTGCTTCCCATTCCAGACTGCAACAGCATCCTGAAAAGAATAAGTATAATTAAGGGAAAATTTTTTAAGTGATATTCTGCCCTTACATTGGAAACTTTTTTCTCCATATGTTTTATTTAGTAATTCCTTCCCATTCTTTGTCTTCCTACTTGTGTATACTCTGAGAGCACAGACTAATAAGCCTGTATTTACGTTATTCAAAATAAGCTCCATCTTTTTAATATTATTTCAGTGTAGCAGTGATAGATTAGGTGTGCATCCATGAAAAGATGCTAACTGAGATGCAGGAAGAGCATGAGAGATCCCAAGAGTGGAGTCAGGGATGGCCATTTGTCATTCTTAGAGATGCTAATATTCCAACTGGGAATCTATTCTAAACTGAATGTGTTCCATTTAATTGAAGATGAAGGGTCACTCTTAACTACCTTGGTGGCAAAAGCCCCACTGATGTGCATTTCTGTGCGCAGGCTGTATGTCATTCCTGTGAAGAAGAAGGTCACGTTCAGCAGATTCGGTGACACCTGAACCACTGCCACCTGCTGGTGGAAGTGGGATGACATTGCCTGCTCGCTGAGGATGACCACAGAGCTGATACTATTCACTGCCAGAAGGTTCTTTCTGGAGCCCCACTGCATTCAAATAGTGAAAGAGAAACATGAGGAATTTGAAAAAGAATAGAGAGATACTAAGGGGAACATGCTTGATGACTAACATCTATAACAAATAAATAACTTTCTAGAGATTAGAAAAATGAGATTTGTTGACTGACATTTACTCCAAACTTAGGATAACCAAGAATTTTACCCTAGGAAAAGTGTTTGATTTGAAGGCACAAATGTGGAAGCAGCTGAGAAAAAACATAAGTAGTGATGAAGGGATTTTTTTGACTTCAATACACGGATAGATATTCATAAAGGAAATAAGCATTTATTAAGTGTTTAATGTGCACTGTTCTAGGCCCTTTACTAATCTGAGCTCATTTGATCCTCATAAAAACTTTAGGAGGTAGGTGCTATTATTATACCCATTTTTACAGTAGAGGAGACTGAGGCAAACAGAGATGAAGTGACTTGTCCAAGGTCACACAGCTAGTGAGGGATGAAGCAAGACAACTTAGGTCTTACTGACTCCAAGCCAGCACTCTCTCCACTGCCTCTAAAAATGAAAAGGGTCATTACTGTAAAAATGATCACTCTCAATATAACGTATAACAATATAACACCCAACGTCTCCACCAATGTGGCAACAGAGATTACAAAGAATTTAGACTTAGCATCACCAGGCCTCTTTTGAGTTTATGGTCAGCAGAAATTGAAAAGTGACTACCTCTAAGCCCAACTACTATACCAGAATAAGGTAAGCTTTTATGTCTAAGTAAACAAAATTATTTCACAAGAAATCCCTTTAATTTATAACTGCTATTATATCACCCCCATATCAGCTTATATACAAGTTATACAGTGCACATTTGTGATTCTAGGAAAGCAGCCACATGGTAGACAAATGATTAGGCAACCTATATATTCTTTAAAAAAATCCTTAAAATGCCTCTTAAAATTCAGATTGATACCACTGTGGATATACAAAGATGTAGCTGAGTTCTTAATCAATAAAATCATATCTCTGGTGCATAACATTTCAATTTTGTACAGCAATTATATTGTTGATGAAAAGTTCCTTTGTTTAGTCTCCTAAAAAATATGCCTATAACAATCCTAAGCACATGCTTAGATGAATGCCAGAGTTCTGCTTTATAAAAATGTCATAAATAATGGTACTGATAAATACATGTAACAACTGAATGGGTTGTGATTTGTTGTTTTAATTTCTTCAGCTTTTTAAGGAACTTAACTCATATGGTTGCCTCTTCAAATCAGAACTAAACATTTTCTTTTGTATTTAAAAGTACACAAATTTATTCTTAACCGTTTTTGCGCCCTGTATAGAAGTATGGCGAAATCTACAGATCACGTCTCAGAATAATGTCTTTAAATGCATAAATAAAATTACAAAGGAAACCAAATCGTGCTGAAATTTAATTGTCAGAATTTTTTTTAAAATTCACGTATCCATGTTAAGAGCACTTAATTTAAGATCACCACCATTGATTGTCTAACAGAATGTGCTCCAAATAATGGCTAGGGTTCAAATGGAAATTTGGGAAATTTAGTTTTAATCATAGGGGTTCAAGTGCCTAATGTACACCTGGATAGTATCAAAGTATTTTCCCTGTTGTCAGTCATCCATGTGATAGGATCTTTTCATATACCTTTGACTCACAATCCATGGGCATCATAATATTTCATTAATACAATAGAAGATGAAGTCCGATCAAGAGGTTAAAAAAATTTTTGTTACTTGTAATATGATATAACTTTAAACCTCTGGCTTAAGTGCTTTCCAGTTTTAAAGGATAAAAAAACACCTTAAGGGCCATTGATTTTTAAAATTTCTTTCTTCAGCAGTGAATTAGTCTCTTGTTATGATTTAAAGGTTCATCAAGAACCATTTGACATAAAATCTTTCCTGTTACATAGTTGCACAGGCTTGAAGGGAAAGAGACTACTTGCTCATTTTTTTCCTTGTTATTTACCAGCTTCCAGGATACTTTCCTTCCTTCCTCAATGAGTTTAGTGCCTCTCTCCAACTCCTACCTTCACGCTAGGAGACTTCAACATATATGCTGGTATTCCCTAAAACACACTAATTTCTCAGTTCCTCAATAAACTCATTTTCCCATGACCAATTATTTCTCCATTTCACCTTAACCACACACACAAATGGTCATACCACTGATCTTGACGTGTTCTACTTCCATGTTTATGGAATCTGGAATTCCTTGTATCTGATCATAACCTATTGTCACTCCAACTCTCCTTTTGCCCTAAAACCATATTCTTCATCCTCACTATGATCTCCAGTCTCTCCCTCCCTAAGTTCTTTCCTAAGCCATCACCCCTGCACTGGCTATATTCTTCTCCCTTTTTCATCTTAACTGCCTGATGAACCAGTTCAATTCTACACTATACTCTTGAGTTCCTTGTCCCTTTATCCTACCATCAATCTTATCCTGCCAAGTCTCAGACTAGGATTAGTCCCATTACTTGCTGCCTTTGTTTCTATTCATGAGCTGCTCAATGAAGCTAGAGAAAAATCACAAAATTGTATTGACTGTGTCCACTAAAAATTTATGTCACATAATCTCAACCGGACCCTGACTATGGCAAGGCAATCCTTTTCCATCTCCCTAATCGACTTACTATCCCATTTACCACAGTAACTTTTCCAGACCTTTGCATCTCTCCTAAAACACCCCAGGGCTCTGCCTTACTCCACCTCCCCAGCTGACAACTCTGCCTCATATTTGACTGAAAAAATTAAGGTTATTTACCAAGAGCTACTTCTGCCCTCCTCCTAATCTTATGTTACTCTCCCATCTCACATGAAGGCGTAGTCTTTCTCTTTCCTACATAGTGGTGTCTTTTTGGTCCTCTTTTGAGAACAAAGGGCAACAGCCAATACCTACTTGCCTCCATTTACTTTGTGGTCCCGTGACACTGACTTCCTTGCCATTCCTTGGATAAGAAATGCTACCTTCCACCTGTGCATTTTCAATGACTTTGCCCCTTGCCTAAAATTCTCTCCTTCCTTGTTTCTACCTCTTGCCTACCGTGGCTTCCTCAAGTCTCAGCTAAAATCCCACCTTCTCCAAGAAGCCTTTCCAAGTTTCCCTTAATACTAGTATCTTCTGTCTGAAATTATGTCCAATTTATCCATGTATATCTCATATAAACACAGTTATTTGCATGTTGTCTCCCCATTACATTGAGAGCTCCTTGAGAACATGGATTGTGCTTTGCCTTTTTTGGTACCTCCAGTGCTTAACACTGGCATAAAGTAGGTGCTTAATAAATATTTGTTGATTTGACCACTGGCATCACCATTATGGGCCAACTTGTAAACTGATCAATTTCAGTTTTGCATTTTCATTTCAATCGGCAAACAATCTCCAGAGTTGACCAGTTACCTTATTCTATTAGTATCTAGGAAATCAAAAAATTGTGTTTTGACAATTTTTTTGGAGGGGAGGAGGTAGGAAGTTGGAAGGACATGGAACATAGACATGTAGACATACATATAGACCCACTGAAAGGAAGACCTGTCACCATTTAGGCTACATTCTGATTAGTTAAAAAATTTACATAATGATTTGTATAGGAATTATTAGCTGTGAAATTAAAATTTAACTTATCTTCAAGGAATTTTGTTTTTCAACTGGATAGCCTGAAAAGAGATATCCTTTAGCTCAAATATGTAGACTGAAAACAGGGATTTCAGTAACCTTTATCTGAGTGATATTCCCTTCCAGCTCAGTTGGGGTTTGCAGAGTCCACTTGTCCTTGCCTTCTAGGACCTGACAGTTCTGATTGCCCACTGGTACTTTCTTCCACATAGCAACTTGCCCCTTATTGGTACCTGCTGCCAGAAGACCTAGGGTTAAAAAAAAATAAGCACAAGGAAAAAAGTAAACAAGAAGATGAACTGAAGTGGGAAATCGAGAATGCTTGGGTTTCTACCATTGATCCCGGGAAGTGGTTGCAAAGATGACATACCATTGTCAGCTATCATTAGCAGTCCTTACTTTGCCACCAGCTTCTTTTCTGACCCTAAGCAAGTCATTTCCTCTCTTTGGGCTTCAGTTCTCTGATCTATGAAACGAGGAGGTTGAACCAGATTATCTTGAATATTTCTTCTAATTCTAAATTTCTGCGGTTCTAGAACTCTAAGATGACAACTCATTGTTTTAGTAAATGGTATTTTTATAAAAAGTTTTGGTTACCTCCCAAAGGATCAAATATTTTCTTAGTGAAAAACGTAGTGAAATTAGAAAGGCTATTGTCAAGAGAGCTAATAATTAGAATCATAACATCTCAGAACTGGAACGAACCTAAGAGATCATCTGTTAGGGATCTGTAGGACGTTGAGGACCACAGGCTGTTCGTGAGACTTCACTGATGGGCGAAGGCCCCTCTCAGGTATCAGTACATGAGCAGAATATCCTGGCTCGGTTCTCCGTCCATGGACCTTGCACCCCCCAAATCAGCAGAACTCTGATATTGGCAAACTCAACCATAAACAATGTTGCCAGCTCAAGCACAGTCAGCTCCGGCACAAATATGTATCAAGTATTGCTAGCTTATGTATCAAGTACTTCTAGATCGCGTATCAAGTATTGGGGACATTTCGGGAACAAGAAGTACATGGTGTTTTTATGGGAACAGCACAGGAGAAGGACACAGTCAGGATAATGTTGCAAAGAAATGTACTCGTTGATACTTTGATTGGTATTCGCAGGAGAAAAATTCTCGGTGTTGCCTATTGGTAAAGATATGTAAACTTTGTTGCTTTGTCTGCTGTTACATAGGGGTATGTTCCCATGAGTCAAAGATATAAAAAGCTGTGCTGTGCCTTGAATAAACGGAGCTTCACCATCTTGTCTCCCTGCCTCTCACTGCTCGGCGCAGGATATCAGGAACTAAGCTGGCCTTAGCATTCCTGGGGAGGGAGAGTTTAAGACTCTCACAGCCACTGAGCTGGATGCACACCATCAGCTAATTTCATGATGTTATTCATGAGGCCCAGAAAGTGGACATGACTTGTTAAAGTCATAGCACCTGAAGACTAAACCCCAGATGATCTGATTCTTAGTCCAGAGTTCATTTAACATTGCTATATGTACTGAAGTTTTATATAAAGATTTTAAAACAGTATTTTATTTTTTTCCCCAATTACATGCAAAAACAATTTTTAACATCTGTGTTTTTTTTTAAGTTTTGCGTTCCAAATTGCATCCCTTTGTTCATTCCTTCCCCACTCCCTGACATGGGAAGCAATCTGATATAGGTTATACATGTACAATCATGTAAAATATATTTCCACATTAGTTATTTTGTGGAAGAAAATAAGAAAGAAAGAAAAAAAGAGGGAGGAAGGGAGAGAGGGAGGATATACTTCAATCTGTTTTCAGAATCCATCAGTTCTTTCTCTGCAGGTAGATAGCATTTTTCATCATGAGTCCTTTGGGATTGTTTTGGATCATTATATTACTAAGAATAGTTAAGTTATTCACATATAATACTACCGTTACTGCATAAAATGGTCTGGTTCTGCTCACTTCACAATGCATCAGTTCATGTAAATCTTTCCAGGTTTTTTTAAAATCATCCTTTTCATCATTTCTTATAGCACAATATTATTCCATTATATTCATATACCACAACTTGTTCAGCCTTTCCCCAATTGATGGGCATGCCCTCAATTTCCCTTTCTTAGCACTGCATATAGATAGCTATAAATAATTTAAAAAATTTTTTTAGGCAATTAGGGTTAAGTGACTTGCCCAGGGTCACACAGCTAATAAGTGTCAAATGTTTGGTCTGAGGCCAGATTTGAACTCAGGTCCTCCTGACTCCAGGGCCAGCGCTCTATCCACTGTGCCACCTAGCCTGCCCTGAGAGTTATAGATATTTTTGCACAAATAAGTCCTTTCCCTTTTTAAAAAATCTCTTTGGGAACAGACTTAGGAGTGGCATTGCTGGATCAAAGGATATGCAGTTTTATAGCTTCTTTGGGCATAGTTCCAAACTGCTCCCTAGAATGGTTCGATCAGTGTCCCAGTTTTCCTATATCCCCTCCAACATTTATCATTTTCTTTTTCTGTCACATTAGCCAATCTAATAGGTGTGAAATGGTACCTCAGAGTTGTTTTAATTTGCATTTTTCTAATCAATAATGATGTAGAGCATTTTTTCATATGACTATAGGCAGCTTTGATGTCTTTGTCTGAAAGCTACCTGTTCATATCCTTTGACCATTTATCAATTGGGGAATAACTTGTATTTCTAATAAATTTGATTCTTCTCTATATATTTGAGAAATGAGGCCTTTATCAGAGATACTCGCTACAAATTTTCTTTTTCAGTTTTCTGCCTTCCTTCTAATTTTGGTTGCATTAGTTTTGTTTATACAAAACTTTTTAATTTAATATAATCAAAATTGTCCATTTTACGTTTTGTAATGCTCTCTGCCTCTTGTTTGGTCCCAAATTCTTCCCTTATCCATAGATCTAACAGGTAAACTACTCCATGCTCCCCTAATTTGCTTGTGGTATCTCCCTTTATGTCTAAATTATGTACCCACTTTCACCATGCCTTGGTACACAGTATGAGATGTTGGTCTACATCTGGTTTCTTTTTAATTTTTTTAAATTTTTATTTGGTATTTTATTATTTCCCCGGTTACATGTAAAAAACTTTTTTTTGGCTTTTTGGTGAGGCATTAGGGGTTAAGTGACTTGCCCAGGGTCACACTGCAGGGTCACAGTGTCAAGGGTCTGAGGCTGAATTTGAACTCAGGTCCTCCTGACTCCAAGGCTGGAGCTCTATCTACTGAGCCACCTAGCTGCCCCTAAAAAACTGTTTTTAACATTCGTTTTTAAAACTTTGAGTTCAAAATTCTCTCCCTTCTTCCCTCCCCACCTCTGCTCATTGAGAAGGCAAGCAATTTGATATAGGTTATATATGTATAATTATTCAAAACACTTCCATGATGATCATGTCGTAAATGACTATATTTCCCTCCATCCTATCCTGCTCCCTGGTTTTTTTCTATTCTCTTCTCTGTTCCTGTCCCTCCTCAAAAGTGTTTGCTCCTCATTACCCCCTCCTCCAATCTGCCCTCCTTTCTATCACTCCCTTTTCTCTTATCCCATTCCCTCCTACTTGTTCTGTAAGGTAAGACAGATTTCTATATCCAGTTGAGTGTGTATGTTATTCCCTCTTTAAGCCAATTCTGATGAGTAAGGTTCACTCATTCCCTCTCACCTCCCCCCTCTTCTCCTCCACCATAAAAGCTTTTTCACACCTCTTTTTTGTGAGATAATTTACCCCATTCTACCAATCCCCTTCTCTTTCTCCCAGTACATTTCTCTCTCTCACCCCTTAATTTTATTTTTTAGATATCATCCATTCATATTCAACTCACACCTGTACCTTCCATCTATATACACTCCTTCTAGCTATCCTAATAATGAGAAAGGTCTTATGAGCTACAAATATCATCTTTCCACGTAGGAATGTTAAACAGTTTAACTGTAATAAATCCTTTATGACTTCTTTTTCCTGTTTACCTTTTCATGCTTCTCTTGAGTCTTATACTTGAAAATCAAATTTTCTATTTAGATCTGGTCTTTTTTCAAGAATGCCTTCAATTCCTCTACCTCACTGAATGTCAATTTTTCTCCTCATGGATTAAACTAGGTTTTGCTGGGTAGGTGATTCTTGGTTTTAATCCTAGCTCCTTTGACCTCCAGAATATCATATTCCAAGCCCTCCAATCCTTTAATGTAGAAGCTGTTAAATCTTGTCTTACCTTGATTGTGTTTCCACGATACTTGAATTGTTTCTTTCTGGCTGCTTGCAATATTTTCTCCTTCACCTGGGAACTCTGGAATTTGGCTATAATATTCCTGTGAGCTTTCCTTTTGGAATCTTTTTCAGGAGGTGATCAGTGGACTCTTTAAATTTCTATTTTAAGGGGCAGCTAGGTGGTGAAGTGGATAGAACTCTGGGCTTGGAGTCACAAGGACCTGAGTTCAAATTCTGCCTTAGACCCTTGACACTTACTAGCTGTGTGACCCTGGGCAAGTCACTTAACCCCGACTGCCTCACCAAAAAGCAAAAAAAAAAATTCTCTTTTATCCTCTGGTTCAAGAATGTCAGGGCAGTTTTCCTTGATAATTTCTTGAAAGATGATGTCTAGGCTCTTTTTTGATCAGAATGCCCAGAGACACATAGCTAGTGAGTGTTATATGTCTGAGGCCGGATTTGAATTCAGGTCCTCCTGACTCCAGGGCCAGTGCTCTATCCACTGCGCCACCTAGTTGCCCCTAGTCTATTCTTTAAGGTGTTATTTTCTTCAGTATTTTTTGGGTCTCTTTAGCAAGCTGTTGACTCGTTTTTGCATCACTCTCATTTCTCTTGCCAATTTTTCCCTCTACTTCTCTTACCTGATTTTCAAAATCCTTTTAGAGCTCTTCCATGGCCCGAGACCAATGCAAATTTTTCTTGGAGGCTTTGGATGTAGGAGCTTTGACTTTGTTGTCTTCTTCTGAATGTATGTTTTGATCTTCCTTGTCACCAGAGTTTCTACAGTCAGAGTTTTTTTCCTTTGTTTGTTCATTTTCCCAACCCATTACTTGACTTTTTAATTCTTTGTTAAGGTAGGGCTCTGCTTCCAGTGTGGAGGGTATACTATCCCAAGCTTCAGAGGTTTTGTGCAGCTGTTTTCAGAGATAACTTCTAGAGACCTGTAAGTTTGCAGTTCTTCCAAGATGGTATTATCTAAAGAGAGGTATTTACTCCTCTCCTGGCCTGTGCTCTGGTCTCTGAGTGACCATAAGTACTCCTTTCTGTCCTGGAACTGTGAAGAGGCTTCCTCCTGCACTGCTGCTCTAAGCTCTGCTATGCTAGTGTTCCTCCTTGCCCCAGGACTGAGACCCAGATCCAAGTACGGGCAAAGCAACAGAGGCAGGCCTCAGTGCTAGCAAAGAGACCCTGTAATCTCTTTCTGATCAGTTGTTCAATAATCCCCTTACCATCTGTGGACTGAGATCTCCAGAAGCAGCCACTGCTGCTGCCAATTCAGTCACTCCCAAGGCCTGCTCCTGGTTTGCTGGGGCTGGGGCTGAGGCTGTGCTGGTGCAGCCTGCCCTAGAATATGCTCCTGTCTCACCTAGGTCCGACAGATCTTTCCTACTGACCTTCTAAGTTGTCTTTTGTGTTTGTGGGCTGAGAAGTCTGGAAATTGCCACTGCTGCCAGTGATTCAGTCCCCTGAAGCCTGATCCAGGTTTGCTGGGGCCCGGTCTATGCTGGCATGGCCTGAGTAGGATGGCTCTCTTCTCTCAGGCTGGTACAACAGGCCTTTCTGGTTGACCTTCCAAGTTGTCTTGGGCTGGAAATTTGTATAACTGTCTTTTTGTGGGTTGCTGCTCTAGAATTTGTTTAGAGTCATTTTTAAAGGTATTTGGAGGGGTTTTCAGGGCAGAGCTCAGGCAAGTTCTTGTCTTTACTTTGCCACCTTGGCTCTGCCCCCATACCTAGTTTCTGCCATACTGTTTTCCAATGTTCCCAGCAGTTTTTGTCAAATAGTGAGTTTTTGTCCCAAAAGCTTGGTTCTTTGGGTTTATCAAACAATAAATTATTATAATTATTTATTACAATGTATGGTGTATCTAACCTATTCTACTGATCCACTATTCTATTTCTTAGCCAATACTAGATTGTTTTGATGATTACCCCTTTACAAAAAAGTTGCTAGGCCTTCTTCCTTCACAATTTTTTTTCACTGATTCCCTTGATATTCTCGACATTTTGTTCTTTCAGATGATTTTGTTATGATTTTTTTCTAGCTCTATAAAATAATTTTTTGCTAGTTTGATTCATATGGCATTGAATAAGTAAATTAGTTTTATATAATATTTTGAAAGCCTCTTCTAAAGTGGCTCACTTTTTACTCTCTGGAGTTAAATGGATAAATATTTCTATTAAGTTTTTTTAGTCCTTGAGCTTCTGAGGACATTCTCTACTTATGGGCAACTAGGCTTCAAATAAAACTTTGAAAAACTTAAAACATGTCTATATTATTACACATAATACAGAGCATTTCAAAAGTCTTAGTGGAAGTTTAAGCTTTAACAAACATTATATTGAATGTTACATATTAGTACCAAATATTTATATGCTACACTATACCTAGTACAGATCATGGTCCAATAAAAACTCTATAAAGAACTTGTAATTGGTCAGCAAATTAGTAGATTTTTCCTATACTAGCAATACTATTCTCAACAGAATTGTTAATTTAAGTATCCTCATAAACAGCTCTTAAGAATAGCAACAAAGTATTTAAAAAAGAGACCAATGATTGGCCTTTAGAACAACAGCACAAATACAATTACCATTTACTAATGTTAAGTTCAACAAGTACCATTTTGTTGACCAAAGAGCTGGTGATGATGATTGTGGCCATAGTAAATTAAAAAGACAAATCATTTGAGGAAAAAAGTGTCCATATAATTTAACACTGTCCAAATTAAAACCTGGCATAGCTGGCACTTTACCAGCCAGGAAGCTTTATGAACCAGTATTTCTGATATCCTTCTATGTGAATTTTTAATAGTATTCCCTTAAGATTAATCAGTAGAGCTCAGATGTGATACAGGTCATGGAATCATTAGAAGAGTGTTATTCGGGGGAGAAAAATATCTCATAGGCCTTTTAACAAACAAAGGTAGCTCTACCAATGATTTGTGATAGATACCCTGGGCAAGTCATTTAATCTCTCTAGGCCTCAGTTTTCTCATTTGTAAAATGAGGGGGTTGGTCTAAATTACCTCTAATGTCTACATATAAATCTATGATTTACCAATGTGTAGATCACCTCTCTTTCCTTTTAAAGAAGGATAGCAATAACAGTGGAATCACATGTTACAGTACAAGTTAAATTTTTGTTAACCAGAGTTTTTGACAAACCCCATTCTTTGACATGCTGGATCCCAAAACTTTTACTGTACTTTCCTGAGTCTGGGTGGACTTTAGCTATGTGATCAGCTTTAACTATGTTAGATACTCCTTGAAAATCTTCAAATTTTCACTATGATTATAATACTTAAGGATAAGTCAATTCGTCTCTCTAGGAAAAGCAAAAATTCTCACCTTTAGCCTTGCAGTAAGAGACACAGTTTATATTTACTCCTGTCTCAAAACCAAACTTCTCCTCTGGACTAAGCACGTAATTCTCTCCTCGTTCCAAGTCCCACAACCTAACAGTATCAAAAAGAAATAATTAATGGAATTAAGCTTGTCTTGTTACTGACAGAGTCCACAACTCTAGACTACTCAACCTCGCCACCAGCTGTCTGGTGGAGGGGTTCAACTCAGATCTGCTCTCCTGACTGGCAAGTCCCTGGCATGATCGCCATTTCTTTAAGGGCCCCAGACATACTGCTCTCTTCACTGTCAGCCAAACACATCCTCCAGACTGATGGCCATACTCCCCAGCAGCCTTTCCCTCTCTCCATCCTCATTCCTGTTCCCCTTTATATTTTGTCTTCCCGTAATAAAATGCAGGCTCCTTGAAAGTCAGACCCTTCTTGGTTTTGTGTATTTATAGTCTCAGCACTTAGCACAGCACTGGGCATATAGTGAGTGGCTAATAAATGCTTTATCTTCTATCTCAAAGAATTCTCCTTCAGTTTTGTTGGTTTGGTTTTATATCAATGAACGCATGGGGAAAATCTTCAAATTAAGAGAAAAAAAGTTGGCATTTTAGAAGCTTCCTTCATTAAAAGAAAATATATACTTTTGTTACTATTTTAGATTTATAAAGGAAATAAACAAGAATAAAAAGAATGTTCACTGAAGGAATATTCACCAAAAGATGAAGGTCTTACCTGAGGACTGTTTCCCCAATTGCTGTAATGAGAAGACTACCTTCAATCAAAATGATATCTGCAGAGTGACCTGTTTTTCCACTTAATTTGACCTGTATACAGAATCAACAATGAGCAGGAAACTCATTACTCATAAATAAAAGTAGCTAATTTACATAAAGACTAAAGTGATTTTTTTCCAAATTAAATATGTATATATATTTTACATGTGTATGTGCATGTGTGCATGTGTGTGGTGTGTGTGTTGTGTGTGTGTGTGTGTGTATCAGAAAATTGATTAATCAGCAGCTGATTTTGATGAGTGCACAATGGGATTAAGGAAATACCTTTCAAGCTAGGAAAGTTCAACTCCCAACAAATCTGACAAATCAAAAGTGATATCCTTACTTGAACTCAGATGCAAACAGGAAACCCTACCAGATTATAAAACATTCAGATTCATAGACCACACTCTAGATCAGACCTTCTTAAACTTTTTTACATCATGGACCCCTTTGGCCCATGGTGAAACCTATGGATACCTTTTTAGAACAATGTTTTTAATAATGAATAAAATATATAGGACTGCAAAGGAAATAAATTAAACTAAAATATATTTGTGGAAATATTTTTTTAAAACCATGTTCATGGTCCCCAAGTTAAAAACCCCTGCTCTCGATATGTAAGTGTTCTCCAAGGATAACAAAAGTACATTGCACTGTAGTACAAACAGGAAATGAATAAGGCACATATGATTAGAGTTTCAATATCAGCAAAATCTACACATCAGAGGAAAAGGCTGAAAGGTATGAGCTAATTGCAGATGGGATGAGAAGACTGGCAAACTCAAATGAGTATAGTCATCATCTGACACAATTACATATTTCAAATGATATATTGAAATTGATATATATCAAACGATAAGTACATCTCCTAAATAAGATAATGCCTGCCATATTCTAGATGCTTTCAAATGTTTTTCTACATCCCCCAATTCTAGCAAACTGCCTGAGGTTCAATCTAGATTTTACATAAGAACATAAATGAGAATTCAAATGCATTACAGGGTTCAGCATAAAGTCCTCTTTTCCATTTTTTTCTTTGATTTGCCATGAGAAATTTGAAAAATTGCATTCTCTTTTGTCTCTGGTTCCCTATGTTACAAGTTAATACTTTAAAGCAGAGGTCAGTAAACTATAGCCTGAGGGCCAAATCTGTCTGTTTTTGTACAAACTGAGCAACAAGTGGTTTTTACATTTTTAAATACAATAAAACTTCATTTAAAAATGTCAAAACTAAAGTCAGCTATGTGGCACAGTGGATAAAGCACAGGCCCTGGAATCAGAAGGACTTGAGTTCAAATCCAGCCTTAGAAAGCTAGATTACTAACTATGTGACTCCAGTTAACCCCGATTGCTTCTCTCCCACCCCACCCCCCAATTTAAAAAAACTATTCTTAGCTTGCTGTACAAAAACAGATAGTGGACTGGATCTGGCCCTTGAAGTATGTTGACACCAAACAAGTAACCTATGCTCCAAATAATAACTATATTAAAATAATAATGTAATGTGCCTATTGACTAAGATGATAACCATAGTATTTATACTAAACAAAAAAAGAGAAAACTGATAAACCTAAGTATTATTGCGTTGCACTCTTCACAGCTTCTTCTTCCCCATATCCTTCACCCTCCTTGTCTTACCTTCAAGATCTCTTCAGCTTCCCCCTCCGAAGTGACCGTATAAAGTGACAAGAGAAGATTCTCTGTCACCACCACCAATACCTCTCTCTTCTCAATATAAAACATCATTTGGATCGGACTATCTACAGACACCACACGGGTAGTCTTTCCTTTTTCATCCACATAGTGCACTGTTCCTAAAGACAAAACACCATCATTGACAGGGATATCTAGATGGATAAATAAGGATTATGGATACTAGAGATACTACTACTCCATTAAATCATAAATGCTTTAATTTTTTTTTTCTTAGCTAGATCTATGAGTCCTTCAGTGTAAGGGAACTCCTGATTAGAAGTTTCCTTTACTGATTCAAAGTAGCCTGTTATTTATAATCCTCATGAGTTGCCCAGGATCTGTGGGAAATTAAAGGTCTTCCCTCTGGGCATACAGCTTGTGTCTGCTAGAGGAAGAATTTGAACCCTGGCTTCCCTGACTCCAAAGTCAGCCCTATCTCACTACGCCACACTGCCTCTCTTGCTTTAATTATCTGTGCTCAAATAACAGTAATAGCAAGTCAATTTTTTAAAAAGTCACATACGTTAAGCTTAATTTGTTTTTTGTACGTGTCAAAACTGGTAAAAAGTACATTTCATTGCTTCTATGTAACACACAAAAAAAACAGGAAATAATTTAAGATGATAGGAGTCTGTAAGTCGAAGAGGAAAAGCCATAACTAATATTTTATCAAATATTTGTATACATGTGGTGCTGTGTTAGGTTTCTTATAAAGAAAGATAAACCATATAAGCACGTACTCTTGGAGTTTGTAATATGGAAGCAAAACTCATTATCTATAATTAAGTTACATCCTATAGACATAGTCATGACCAAAAGGATACAAAGTATATATTTCAGCAACACTCATATATAACAGAAATAATTAAAATCAATAGAAAAACAACAGAATTATATTAGAATATAAATTTAATTAATTAAAAACAACTTCAGATAAATGCAAAGACAACACAGATAGTTCCTTGTTAGCAATAAAAGACATGACAAGTCATACTCAAAATACTAACAACAAATGCTATCTTATTTATGTATATGTGTGTATTACAATTTTCTACCCTGACTTCTCCCCCTCAGGCTGCAACTTTACTGTTTCTCTTACATGAAAGTGGACTTTAAAAGGAAATAGGAGGGGCAGCTTGGTGGCGCAAATGGAGCACCAGCTCTGAAGTCAGGAGGACCTGAGTTCAAATGTGACCTCAGACCAAACACTTGACACTTACTAGCTGTGTGATCCTGGGCAAATCATTTAACCCCAATTGCCTTAAAAAAAAAAGTAGGAAAATAGTAAGTGAAACTCTACTGCTAATGCTAAGTTGGTAGGCAGATATCCAACTATTCATAAAATTTCATTAAAATTATCTATTACCTTCCATCCTAACCACCTTTCACCTACAAATTTATTTATAGGTATAAAACCACATTTTACTTTTAAGTTCATATTCATATAGCTCTTTACAATTTATAAAGTACTTTCTTCACAACAGCCTTGAGAGGTAAGGCAAGCATTAATATCTCTAGTTTACAGAGTAGGAGATGAAATCTTAGAAAAGTTAAAACAACTTAATGGGATCAGAGAGATCTGTAAAATGTCATCATATAAATCATATCACAGGGCAAGTAAGTGATGAAATTAGCACTCGAATTCAGATAGTCTGACTCCAAGTACAATATTTTTCCCTACCATATTATGCTGAGTCTCATTTCTCCTTGTACAACACATGTGTTCTTGAAAATCTTTATATGTCATATTTTTTTAAATTGAACGATATTTTCCCATTAGGTAGTGCTAGGACTCCATTCTAAAAATTAATTAACTTATTTTTAATTTTTAACATTAACTTCCATAAGCTTTTGAGTTTTAAATTTTTCTCCCCCTCCCTGTCCGCCTCCCTCAAATCTTCTGCCTGCAGACAGTGTGCAATGTGATATAGGCTCTACATAAACATTCTATTAAACATATTAGTCATGCTTTAAAGAAGAATTAGAACCAATGGGAGGAACTACAAGAAAGAAGAAACAAAACAAAAGAGAAGGAAAAAAAGAGCAAATAGTACACTTCCATCTGTATTCAGAATCCATAGTTCTTTCTCTGGATGTGGATAGCATTTTCCATTGTGAGAGTTTTGGACATGTGAGCCAGGACTTCCACCCAGGCCCTCTGACCCCAAGCACAGCACTTTTTCCACTATGTTCCAGGATAGGGACCCCAGGAAGCCTGTGACACTCTCTCCCCTGGGACACCCACAGACCCCTCTAACTGACACCCTGAGAACAACGAAATAAGGTCAGAGGGCACAGACCCCTATGATTCCATTAAACCAAAGGGGGATGGTTGATGGAGAGGGAATGCGGGGTCATGAGCTCCCAGAGTGAAAAAAAGGGATCCTCTTTTGCCATCTTGCCTACTCTTTCACCCCTGCCTCTTGATCCTCTCAGTAGGGGGACTTGAAGCTCTAAGTAGGACTCCATTCTAAAGAGGCCAACAGAGAAAAGCCTGGGGGAATGAGCATTGATTACCCCACAATTATGACCAACGTAGGCAGGATACTAAAATACACAGAGGCAATATGATAGAGTTGGATAGAGGGCTGGTCTCTGAATGATGGATATGCAGGATCAAGCCCTGCCTCTGACACTATGTAATTCTGGGCAAGTTGCTTAACCTTTCAATGCCCCAGAGGACCCTCCTAAGGGTAGAAATTCAGAACAATTGCCAACCTGGAAAGATAGTAGGAATTTCATCACAAGGAGTTTTCTACATTAACAAAATCACAGATCCTGGACAAAAAACATAAATCAAAACCTAGGATATTCATCTCTCAAGTTGCTTTGCGTAAAAATTCAGGCTGTTCACTGGAAGGTCAAATACTGAAGCTGAAGCTTAAATACTTTGGACACAAAATGAGAAGACAGGACTCATTGGAAAAGCCCCTGATGTTGGAAAAGACTGACAGCAAAAGGAGAAGGGGACAGCAAAGGATGAGATGAATAGACAGTGTCATGGAAGCAACAAACATGAGCTTGGACAGACTTCAGGAGATAGGGGAGGACAGAAGGATGTGGCGTGCTATGGTCGATGGATTTATGAAGAGTCAGACAGGACGGAATGACTTGATAACAACAAATGCAAAACCTTTTCTGAGGCCTTTCAAAACAGCCTATATTATAACTCTAATCACCATCAAACTTGTCTAAGCCCCAAACTTTCCCAGGTACAGTGTATAAAATATTGAATAGGGAGCCATGAAGATCTGAATTCAAATTTTTTCCTGGTGTGACATATTTCACACTAGGTATGTGACGCCATAGCCAAACCATTTAATTAATCAACCAATCACTTAACCTCTCTAACTTCAGTTTCTTCATTTGTAAAATGGGTACCTATCTCATAAGACTGTTGTGAAGCTCAAATAAAATTATTATTATCATTATTACTATTATTATCATGGGCCTAGTCCAAATCCTACCTCCTCTACAAAGTCTCTGCTGACTTTCCAGCTTTCAGGGATCATTCTCAGCCCTGAAATTCCATACCATTTAGCCATGTATTACTTTGCATGTTTATTTGTCTTCTTATGTATCTTTCTGCCAGTATTGTCATATGCTAAGAATCATGGAAAATGATGGTCTTCAAAACATTAAAAATGACCATCACTACAAGAAGCAGAGGCACATACATGTTGTACGTAAACAAACTACAATACATGAAAAGTAAGAAACTACAAAGAAAAACCAGAGTAAAGGATGTCACTGAAGAAATGTATAACTGAAAAAGAAAATGAACTGTTTACATGATGAGAGCGAAGAACAACTCAGATTTATGTGAAAACATTATTTGAATTAATAAGCATACAAAACTAGTTAACAGGTCACTTTGGATTTTGTTTGTCAGTTTAATTTCTTCCCTTTGGTTGAGGTATGAACAGTATGTTATTATAAGCTGCAATTTATTTCTTAGGCTTAAAAAAAATCCCCCAATAAAATTCGAAGAAATGTATTGCATAGTGCTATAAGTTAATACCTAAATTTTGATCCTCACCATCCACCAGGCTGACAAAGAAGGATAATCCCTCCTGAGATCCCATTTTTAGGAAACCTCCAAAGCCACTTTTTCTCCAATTAAACATGTCCAGTGCTTTTTCATCACCACTCACAGCTGCTTTTGCCAACTGAACCAAGTCCCTGCAAATGATTAAGATACACATAGTTTCAAGGTTTTTATTTTAGCTGTCTCATTTGTTATCCTGTGATTTCATTTCTTGTTAACCACAATGATACTGCTCTTTTCACTCTGACCCAAAGCCAGAAATAATTTGTTAAGAGTGATGATTTGAAACTTTTAATGTTACTCACTCGCCAGGTGGGGGAAGCCGAAAGATGCAATGAGTAAGGTGTTTTCCATACTCATGTTTCAGTAAAGGTGTTCCTTGTACTCTGCCTCTTTGGTCTAACCGCCATAATACCAGAACACCAAGCTAAGGAAAATTAAAAAGTTGTCATTAATGAACATATTTCAGAAAATGGAGAAATTCACTAGTTAAGATAAGACTTCTGCAAGAGATTGAGTATTTTTAATCATTATAGACATTGGTAGGTATAACAATAGCCTAGAAATCAGAAAACCTAAGTTTTAGTCTAAGTTTATAATTTAGTATAACCCCTGCCAAGTTATTAACTTGTACTTCAGTATCATCATTTAACAAATTAGGATAAATGTACTTGCCAACCACTACCCTCATAGGGCTATTAAGAATGTCAAGAATTCTTCAGAGCACATTTTAAGTCCCACCAAACAAAGACATCAAATACAGCAAAAGCTATTTTGCCTAACACTTCATTAACCTGAAAGATGGAGAAACTGACAGTTTAGAATCTCTCCCCAGAATCTTCATCCTAGAAGCCAAATAAAAATTGCAACTAACTAGAATCAACATAGAAACTATATTAAACCAAAGAACTGTATTGAGAAGTCAGAACAAAGCTTGGAAAAAAATGTCCTGTCAAGTGACTTCACTGAACAGAACATTTTTTACATTTATGGAGGGCTGTTCAATGTTTTCCCATGGAAGTTATTAGTTCTAGATCCTAACTTCAAACACTTAACTGTTTCAATACCTGCTCTGGGTGTTGCTGATGATCGTTATGATTATCATCTAATGTTTACTAAGCACTGCCTATATATAAGGTTCTGCAGATGATACAAAAGCGTATAAAACAGGGTTCCTTCACTCCAGGCAACAATTAATTGAGGAGATAAGACATATAGATAAACATATATGAATATCTTTACATATATGCACACACACACTGTGATGTTCCACTGAACCTATGATTTTAAGTGTAGGTAGGAAGTAACAATTTAGAACATAAGACAAATATAATATACTCTAATGTTTCACTGGATCCATGATTTTATCAGTGTGGGTACTTCTTTAAATAGTGTCCTCCCATACATCTTCCATAGAAAAATCTACTCATCAGACTGGGGAGCTTCCTCCAGGACTTTTAACATTTTGTGGGTACCAGGGCTGTACTTTGGCTTTCCATCTGTTATCCCACATTAACTGTCTTATCTCCTTTTCTAATCACAAATTTTCTTAACAATAATAATTGTTTTAACTTTAAAAGTTTTGTGTGGTATCTTTTGTGTTTATATCATCTTACTTTATGATTATATCCCTTTCCTACCCCCAAGCCATCCTTTATAATAAAAAATTTAAATGAAAGAGAAAAAAAAAGCAGTTCAACAAAACCAATCAACATATCAACAGTGTATGAGTATCTGCAATACTTCACACCTGTAGTCCCTCACCTCTATAAAGAGGGAAAGGTACATTTTCTCAACTGTTTGACCATTACAACTACTTTGCATTCAGTTTTACTTTTATATTCTTTTCATTTACATTGTTATAGTGATTGTCACTACTGTTTTCCTGGTTCTGTTGATTTCATTACACATCAATTCATCTATTCTCAAGCATATCCCCTTTCTTCATGCTTATTATTTCTTACAATGGGACATTCTTTTACATTCATGTACTGTTGAGGGCTTGCACTGATGGGTTTGAGGATATAGGTCATGTCGGGATGTTCCTGTTCCTGTCCACTATCTAAGAGCCGTCTAGGTCAGAACGTAGGCTCTCCAACCTCTTTCAGGCGTTGTCTGTCCCTTGAGAGGATGAAGGATTTTTCAATAAACCTTGAAAGATAGTCGGGAAGCGAGGAGACGATTCTGGGGGGATACTCCCCCCAGTTACTATTACCATGAGAAGAATTAATTGTTGATACTTGGTTTTTTCCACTCTTGATTCTGTTCCCACGAATGGGGTATAAAAACCCTAATTCTGAGATCAATAAACGGAGCTTGTTTATAATTTGCTACCCCCTGGTCTGCATTTCTCTCTCTGTCTCTGTCTCTGTCTCTGTCTCTCTCTGTCTCTCTCTGTCTCTGTCTCTCTCTCTCTCTCTCTCTTTCCTTCTTTCTTTTTCACTCTTTTCAGCCTCACCGGAGATAACTTCGTAGTGGACTCAGAAGTCTGCTACAATGTACCACAATTTATTTTAGTGCGACTCTGGCCAAGTCATTTAACCTTGTTTGCCTCAGTTCCTCATCCATAAAATGAGCTGAAGAAGGAAATGGCAAACCATTCCAGTATCTTTGCCAAGAAAACCCCAAATAGACTCACAAAGAATTGGACAAAACTGAAACTCAACAACAAATCACAGTTTATTTAGTCATTCACTCCCTAAATTGATAGACCTCTATTTTGTTTTCAGCTTCTTTTAAAAAAAAATTGATGCTTTGTGTCAACATCACAATCGTTTCCCACAAACCCGCCATATTATACTTTCCCCTGAAACAAAGAAAAATAATTAAGCAAATATCTGATACAGCTACGTAATTTATAAAATATTTTGCTCTAATAGTCCTCTACTTCTCTACTTCTCTACTATGAAAGAAAAAGCATGTTTCATTATCTCCAACTCTGAGACCCCCACTGGTTTTTCCAAGAACTCAATTTAACTTCATTTCATCAATCATTTCATTTATATTTTAACATAGTAACTGTGCCTATTTCCTTTTGGTTCTTATTTTGCTCTGCATCCATTCACAAAAATCTTTCAATATTTCTCTCAATTCCTGATATTTGCAATTTCTTATTATACAATATTTTACTACATTTAATGCAATTTTTTCTGGCCAATTTCTAATTGAAGGTTACCTAATTTATAGTGCTTTGTCACTACAAAGAGCAATGCTGTGAATATTTTGGTATATATTAGGCCTTCGTTTTTTGTCTCTGTTTTAATTGGGATATATGTTCAATAATGGATTTACTAGAGTAATGTGTGTAGTCAATTTAGTCACTTTTTCAGCACAATTCCACATTGAAATCCAGAAGAGTTGGACCACTTCATAACTCTACTTACAATGCCTCAGTGTATCTTTATCTTCACACAAGCCCTCCAATACTATCTGTTGTCACCTTGGCCACTTTACATGGTGTGAGGTGAAACCTCAGAGTCATTTTAATTTGTATTTCTCTTACGATTAGTGATCTTGAGCATGTATTATGTGATCATTTATAGCTTGCCATCTTCTTCTGATAAGAGGCTGCTCAATAAGGAAACTGAATATTGTATAATTATAAAGACCATGCTTGACCCTAAGGGTAAGATAAGAAAATTTACCCCTGTCTTCTTTGGAAAGGTGAGGACCATTAAGCCTATAACATTGCATTAAACTATAGGGGGTAGGTAATAAAAGCTTTGTTCATATTCTTTGACAACCACTAGATAATGATTTCTAGTATTATATATTTGTGTCAACTGCTCATATATTTTGGATATCAAACATATTTTAGTGATATCAGATACATATATTTCATTTCCTCTCTACTGTTTCCCTTCTAATCTTGTTATTAACTTCATTCTCATAAAATCTTTTAAAATTTACAGTAAAAATTATCTATTTTATCTTTTGATTTCTCCTATCAATTGTTCGATTAAGGACTCACTAATTAATAATAGTTGTGAAAGGTACCTGATCATACACTCTTTAATTTTTTTAATGGCATAACCTTTTTAAATTCAAGTTGGATAAAATTATTGAACTTACTAGAGTAGCTAGGTGGCACAGTGGATAGATTGCCTGGCCTGGAGTCAGGAAGACCTGAGTTTAAATCTAGTCCCGGATACTTTCTAGCTGTGACCTTAGAGGCAAGTCACTTAACTCTGTTTGCCTCAGTTTCCTCATCTATAAAATGAGCTGGGAAAGGAAATGGCAAACCATTCTAGTATCTTTGCCAAGAAAACCCCAAATAGAGCGACAAAGAGTCAGACATGACTAAACAACAATAACACTGAACTTTTTGTAGTATATGGTATAAGATTTTCATCTAAATCTAATTTCTGTCATTTTTCCAATAGTTCTTGTCAAATGGGGAGTCAGTTCTTCTAACAATTTATTTTTGGGCTTGCCAAACATTGACTTACTGTTGCAAATTATTTGTTTCATATCTAGTCTGTTCATTGATATACTTTTTTCTCTCTTTTATTAACTAGTACCAAAAGTTCTTGTGATTACATCTTTTTATATAGTTTGAGATCTCATTCTCACTTTTTCTTCATTTCTCCTTTGAGATTCTAGGACTTTTATTTTTCCAAATAAGTTTTAGTGTTTCATCTTATTGTAAAAGTATTCCTTCATATAATTGGATTGATATAGCACTAAACAATCATGAGCTATGAATGTGTCTCCAATTATTTAAGTCTTCTTAACTCTTCTTCAATGAGTGTTTGTTGTATTTAAATAAATCTTGGGTGTTATCTTGGCAGGTTAACTCAGATGTTTTATGCATTTTGAATGGAACTTCCCTATTTGTTTTTCCTGGTATTTGTTAGTACTATAAAGAAATGCCAATGATTTTGTGGATTTTTTCTGTATCCTGCTACTTTAGTGAAGCTATTAAATGGGCTCAGTTCCTTTGCTGATTCCTGGAGTTTTCTAAGTATTGTCGTTGTTTTTCAGTCACGTTCAGCTCTTCGTGGCCCCACTTGGGGTTTTCTTGGTCAAGATACTGGAGTGGTTTGCCATTTCCTTCTGCTCATTTTACAAATGAGGAAACTGAGGCAAACAGGTTAAGTGATTTGCCCAAGGTCACACAGCTAGTAAGTGTCTGAGACTAGATTTGAACTCAGGTTTTCCTGACTCCAGGCCCAGCACTCTATCCACTGCACTAACTAGCCTCCCCTTTCTAAGTACAGGAGTATGTTATCTGCAAATAGGGATCATTTTGTCTTCTTGATACTGATAATTATGCTTCTTATTTTTTCCTCCTTCCTTCTTTTCTAGTTAGCAGTTAAAAGTAATGCAACAGAAAGTAATCACAATTCATGTTCCCAGTGAGTGTAATATTTTTCCCCATTATGAAAACTCTCAAAACCCTTAAAAATTACATCAATAAATTACAGA